GCAGGAGCGAGAGGGGCAGGGAGAGGCAGGAAAGCCAAGGAGAGCCAGGCATAAGGGGCAGGGGTGCGGGAGGAGGGCAGCAGAGAGGAGGACCAGCAGGACAGGAGCCTTCGAAGATGCTGCTGTATCCCTGGGGCTGGGGTCAGGCCAGGTCGCCGCCTGAGCAGAGGCTGCAGCATGGGCAGTCCTGAGCTGAGGAGGAACTCTAGCAGACAGGGCCTGGATACCCTCTTGAGGTAGGTCCCTCCTGCCCCGGCTGGGCATGGAGGGCAGGGCAGGGTAGGATGCTAGTGCTGGGCTGCCACATGCACTGGGCCAGGCCCCCGGGCATGGGGCCACTGGGCCTCCTCCAGCTTCAGTGGGCTCCACTGCCCCAAGAGTGGGCAGGGAGAAGGTGCCAGGCTGGCCGCGTGTCCACGTGTGAGTGTGGAGGCTGCTTGAGGCCTCTCCTCCTCCCAGCTCCTGGCAGCCGCCCCCACATCCTCCTCCCCTGTCCCACCTGCACTGCCGGCTGCACTGTCGCTCTCTCGCACCTCTCCCCGAGCCCCAGGGCTTCTGCTCAACTCTGAGCCCCCAGGATGAAGGGCCCATCCTCTGAGTGGCCTCTGGAGCCTCCCGTGGGGTCCTTCGGACCCTGGGCACGCTCCTGTCACCCTCACTTCACAGATCATGAAACGACTTTGGGCTGAGCTCACCCGCCTTGGCCGCATCACACCAACCCTGAGTGGGAGGCTCCTCAGGGCCAGGGAGGGTACCTGGGCCTTGTCTACCTGCAGGCATTGGGCCAGTGTGGTGCCCTCTCCCCGCCTGTTTCTTCCTCTGTAAAGTAGTGGTGTGACCCCTCATGGGGTCAAGCAGGAGAGCAGAGTTTGGAGGGCCCAAGGCTCCTCAGGACCCAGCCTGGGCAGTCAGATATCCCTCTGCATCTTCAGCCACTCAGCCACCTGTAGTGCCCTTCCTCCTCCTCAACCCTTTCAGGTTTTTAGCCAAGTTGAAACACCACCACCTCCTTGAAGGCTGCCTTGCTTCTTCCTAACCTGGAGGGCTGCCCTGCTCTGACTCCCTTTGATGGCATAGAGCATGCTGGCCGGACCTCAAGCTCCTGGGAGGCAGAGCTGGCATCGGTCAGCCTGCCACTGCCCACCAGGGCCAGGCACTCCATGCTGAGACTCTGAGAGAGCAGGGAGCCAGGGATGCCCATGGGGGTGGGCTCAGCAGGGTCTGAGGAGTTGAGGGCAGCCCGGCTCACCCCTCCTCCCCAGCTCCCACTTATTGAGTCCATGCAGATGCAGAGAGATAGTTCTGATCCGGTCCTCACCTACAGGGTCTCCGGCTGCCATCCCAGTTCAGGACCAGCACCAGGATCTGCAGTGGGCCCCTGGCTGGGCACACCTCATCCCAGCCTCCCCCTACCCCTGCCCCCCCATGAGCCTCCTCCTCTTGGGCTTCCAGGCTCTGCTGGTCGGACCTCCCCTCCCTGCCCAACGGGGATTGTGTTTCCCCAGGGAACGCTGCTGTCCCTCAGGAGCTCTGTGGCCTGGGATTTGAGGAGTGCCTGGGGTCAACCCCCCAGACTCACCAGTGCTACTTAACAAATGGGCCCAAGAGAAGGAAGCGCAGCCCCCGGGGGAGCAGCAGAGTCCCTGCCTGTCTGTGCAGGGGCTCACCCCCTTGTCACCAGGGGCTTGGCCATGAGCACCCGTCCAGCAGGCCCAGCACAAACTGCAGCCCCAGGTGAGCAAGCAGCACTCGGGGTGCACTGACGCCGCATGGGCCCAGGCTCCGGGCCAGTCCCTGTGGACCTGGGGAGGACACAGCGGGGAGGGGACCTCATTAGAGGTGGTCAGGCAGTGGGATGGTGGCATAAGGACCCGTCCCTTTGAACTCCCTGGGAACTCGCCCTGACGGGGGCCAGGCAGAGGGCAGCAAGAGTCCCTTGTCCAGCTATGGGGGACAATCATGGTGAGCTACATGAAGCAAGGCTCACACGTGTGCACTAACGCACACCCCCTCCAGGACACAGACCCAGAGACCACTGCACTGCACCCACCCACCACACGCACACTTGCAAGCATACACGCACACACATGCACACGCACATGCACACACACACACTACCACCCAGGACAGTGCTGCACTCACCACCACTGCCATGATCACTTCTCTGCAGTCTCCAACAGCTCAAACTTCCCCAGTCTCAGCCCTCCAGGCCCGGCAGGCTGCCCCCTACCCACTCCCTGTTGGATAAAGGAGCGAGCCAGGCCCAGAGAAGCTGTGGGTGAAGAGACTTGCCCAAGGCCACTCAGCAGGGCATGGTAAGCCCAGGTCCGCAGGTCCCTCCTCCACCCACATCACCCCACCCCTTCAACGGGGATCCCCTGGGTGTCCCGCCATGCCGGTTGCAGGGCTGGGAGAGGCATTGCAGTCAGGGAGAGGCATTGCTGTGTCCTCAGTGATGAGCCCTGAAGGGCCATGCTAGGTGCCAGCAGCCGCCAGAGAGCAAATTCAATGCAGTTTACGTTCATTAAAAATGGTGCTCTGGGCCAGTGGGAAAACGTGTCCCCCCTGCCCCATCCTCCCCTGCCCCATTGTCCCCCACCCCTGCCCCAGCGATTCTCCTTGTCTACACCTGGTGTGAGCCCAGGGGCTCTGCATGTAGCCGCACAATACCATTTTCTCCAGGTCTGGCTGTTCCCAGCCTCTGCCAGCATGCGGCTTCTGGCTGGCAGGGTCGGGCCCTGGGCTGACCTCCCCCCAATGCCTCCCTGCCAAGTCTGCCCTTCCAGGCACCTGAGAGTCTGCCCTGTGCCTCCTCCCTGCCCCTGGGCAACTCGGAGCTCTCCCAGGGCCAGCTCGGGCAAGGCCAGTATTAGGGATGGTCAGGGGACCTAAAGAGGACCTCAGCCCACTTAACTCCAGAGGTCACCCAGACTCAGCCACTGGCCTGGTCCTGCCACCTGTGGGGTCCTGGCTTGGGAGAGGGCAGCAGGCCGGCTGTGAGTGCCTTGTAGCCTGGCCCGGAGTGAAGAGGGGGGCTGGGGATCAGCCTGGCAGACATTCTTATCAACCACTGAGGTCCCCAGAGCCCTGTGCCCACCTCAGCCATGGCTCTTTGGGTGGTGTGAGCCCCTCCAGTCCCTCATCTCCGGCACACATCTGCCCACAGATGTGGCAGCCACCCCATGCTTGGCTCTCCCCAGGCCTCTAAGGCCCTCAGGCAGGGACCCGCCCTGAGTAGCCTGGTCCAGGGACCTCTGGGGCTCCTGATGTGGCCAGTGGGGCAGGAATGGGCTGGCAGCCTGCTGGGCTGGCCCTGAGGGGGCTGGGGGAAGCCAGGCCTCCAACCACAGTGTCCAAAAGGGCGTGGCTGCCTTGGGCCCATCCAGGCCCGAGATCCTGAGGGTGGGGTAGCCCCCGCCCTGGCAGGGCTGGAAGTCCGTCTTTGGACAGAGCCCGTCCTGCCCAGAAGCCCAGCCAAGCCAGCAACAGGGGTGCAGGGACCGAGTGGCCCAGCCCCCTGGGCAGGGTGTCAGGGCCGGAGCCCAGAGGACTGCGGTTCAGGCTTCAGTCCCAGCCGGCGAACCAGAGCTGGGCAGAGCGGCCAGCAAGCGGCAGCCAGGGTGCCCTGGGCACTCGACCCCCAGATGCCCCTGCTGGAGCCGTAAAGGGGAGGCACCCTGAGCCCGGAGGGAGCATGGCCCCAGGGACTGAGCATCCGGCTCAGAACGGCTCCACAGAGGTTGGTAGCCTGGGGTTGACCACAGAGGTCTCTGGAGGGCAGACACGAGCCGCTGCAGGTGGGAGCTTGTAGGAGAGAAGCCCTTGGGTGCCCCCTGGATGGGGTGGGGACCATCGGAGAGAAGGGTGAGGGTCTCTAACCCCAGCCCCAGGCTCCAAGTGGGCTGAGACCCGTGGCCGTGAGGGTTGGCTACTGCCCGTGACGGACTAGGGAGGTCTTGGTGAGAGCCGAGGTGGTGCTTGTGGAGGTGAGATTGGGCACCAGGCCTGGCCAGGGATGCTGGAAGGGGGCAACACTGTGCCTGGGGCTCTGAGAGTCTCTCAACGAGAACAAGCCCTACCTGGGGAGAAGTGAACAAAGAAAAGAAAGAAAGAGCGAGGGCATGAGAAAGACATGAGAGAAAGGGAGGGAAAAATGTGGAAAGGGAGGGCAAGAGCAGGGGCTGCCTTGAAGAAAGGAGAGGGGAGCAGAAGTGGGTGCAGGGTGGCGGCAGGAGGGGAAGGGCAGAGGGAGGGGCTGAGTTGCGAATGGAAGCTGCGTGAGGGTCCCGGGCACTGCCCTGTGCAGCCGACCCCAGGCGTGAAAGGAGGGGTCTCTCCCACATGGGCCCCACCTAGCAGGTGCCTGGGGCAGGAGGCTGCAGAGCCACTGTCTCACGCAGCTCCTTGGTGCTGCAAAGACGGGAGGTGGGAGGAAAACCAGAGAATCGAGAAATGGATGCTGAAGGAACGCGGTGAGGCCAGGCGAGGGCTGGCGAGATTGCCAAGGAGAGGACGGGCGAAGAAAATGGAGCGCCCAACAGAGGACGGGGCACGGGGGAGGGCTGGCTTTCCCTGGGACTGAGGAATGAATTTCTGCGCCCGGACTTGGACCCCCTGGGTCAGGACCCTGCCCTCCACTCACATTCAGGGGCAGCACCTCTTCCGGCCTCTGTCCCTGCCTGGTCTTCCCCACACCCAGTTCTTGGGGGTTGAGGGGTTGGAGCCCCAGCCACGTCATCAGCTCCCTAGGACCCCCGCATGAGATGCGCACCTCCGAGCCTCCGTGTGCGCGCCTGTAATGGGGATGCTGGGACTGCGGCCCTGGCAACTGTTGTGAGGACGGAGGTGCTGGCTGCCCTGGTGCTCGCTGTGCCTCTTTAAATGGGGATGTCTGGACCTCAGGCGCAGAGGACCAGGGCAGGTCCACTTGACCTCAGCCACTAGGACTTCCCAAGGCCATGTGAGTCTCCCACGGCCCACTGAAGCTGGTCCTTCATACCCCATTTTGCAGATAGGAAAGCTGAGGCTCAGGGAGCCTCCAAAGCTTACCCCTGTCCTGGGAGTTGGCAGGGGGCGTCCACAGTACCAGGGGACACACACCAGGAAGTCTCCTGGGGAAGGAGGGCCAGCCCAGGGGCAGACTCTTTTCTGTGCTGCGACGTCTCCCCTGCACCCCAGGGATGATGAGTCTGGGAGGGGCTGGTCACCCATGAAAGCTTCGGGGAGGGGCTGGTGGCCAGGCCGGGCACCCCAGAGCTCCACAGGCAGACATGGCGTGGCGGCGTCAGGCAAAGAGCTTGGTGGCTGGGTGCTATGGTAGGAAGATCCCAGTGCTGTGAGAGTGAGACAGGTGATTGAATGCCAGGCTGGCTTGCCCGTTCTCTGTGGGTGCCGGCTGTGGCTCCCGCCCAGGTGGGCACCACGTCTGAATAATGTATGAAGCCTCCGGTTGCATGGAGGATGGAAGCGCTTTGGGCAGCATCTGTGGGCAGAGCCTTCAGGGATGTGAGGTACATCTGGGCACAACTAGCTGGCAAGGAAAGAGGATGGCAGAGCCTCAAGCCGATGCCAGGGACTGGTCGCGTGTCCCGGAACGTGCCAAAAACCTGCCTCGTGAGCATGGCGAGAGCTCTGCCAGGGCAGTACCAGCTGGCCCAGGAGCCGCAGGGCTCCCGAGGGCCATCCAGCAAAGGCGGGAGGCGTAACCGGGCTGTCAGTGGGACCTGTGGGTGTCAGGGCTCCTTGTTCCCCTCCTGTGGGAAGCAGGCGCCGAGCGAGGCTGCATGTAGATGCCTGTGAGGGTGAACTGTGGCGGAGGACACTGATTGCCGGGTGCAGATGAGGGCCCCAGAAAGGTCCCCCAGGTTGCCTCACTCGTGGCACGGGCCCGGCAGCATTGTGGTCAGTGACACGGAGGAGGACAGAAGGCCATGTGCACAGCACGCAGAGCAGGAGGAGGGGGGAAGAAAGAGCAGGCACGGGGCAAGTGGAGCCGCAGCCATGCCTGGATGCAGCAGGCAGGGCCACCCACGAACAGGGCGGGGCCCTAACCTCCGACCCAGGCCGGTTGCAGCAGATGGGGCAGAGATGTGAAACAGCTGCAGAGCGGGACGAGGGTGCTGCCGGCACAAGGCTGACCACGTAGCACATCAAAAGAGGTAGGGCACCCAGCGCAAGGGAGGTGATGGGCTGGTCAGCGGGACATCAAGCCAGTTCTGGACTCTGCTCTGAGGACAGTCCCTGATCCAGCCTCTGAGGACTAATGGGAAGCCAGGGGTAGAGGGGCTGGGGAAACAAGGCTCCATTGTCCAGTCTCAGCAGGGGGTCAGGGCTTGGGGCTCTGTGGAGGCCACACCATGAGGTTTCCAGGGTCATAGGTACCCTGAGGTCAACACTGTCTGCCGGTGCGTGGGCATCCCTCCTGTTGGGTGTCTGGGTAGAGTTGGGGTCTGTCTGGCTGGCGTAGACACCTTTGGGACTGGGTGTGTGTGGTGGGCAGGCCTGGGCTGCAGTCACCCCGGCCCACATTGGTAGAGCTGGGGTCTGTCAGGCTGGCGTGGGCACCTTTGGGACTGGGTGTGTGTGGTGGGCAGGCCTGGGCTGCAGAGTCACCGTGGCTGGCACTGGTAGAGTTGGGGTCTGTCTGGCTGGCGTGGGCACCTTTGGGACTGGGTGTGTGTGGCGAACAGGCCTGGGCTGCAGTCACCCCGGCCCGCACTGGTAGAGTTGGGGTCTGTCCGGCTGGCGTGGGCACCTTTGGGACTGGGTGTGTGTGGTGGGCAGGCCTGGACTGCAGTCACCCTGGCCCACACTGGTAGAGTTGGGGTCTGTCTGGCTGGCGTGGGCACCTTTGGGACTGGGTGTGTGTGGTGGGCAGGCCTGGGCTGCAGAGTCACCATGGCTGGCACTGGTAGAGTTGGGGTCTGTCTGGCTGGCGTGGGCACCTTTGGGACTGGGTGTGTGTGGCGAACAGGCCTGGGCTGCAGTCACCCCGGCCCGCACTGGTAGAGTTGGGGTCTGTCCGGCTGGCGTGGGCACCTTTGGGACTGGGTGTGTGTGGCGGGCAGGCCTGGACTGCAGTCACCTCAGCCCGCACTGGTAGAATTGGGGTCTGTCCGGCTGGCGTGGGCACCTTTGGGACTGGGTGTGTGTGGCGGGCAGGCCTGGACTGCAGTCACCTCAGCCCGCACTGGTAGAATTGGGGTCTGTCTGGCTGGTGTGGGCACCTTTGGGACTGGGTGTGTGTGGCGGGCAGGCCTGGACTGCAGTCACCTCAGCCCGCACTGGTAGAATTGGGGTCTGTCCGGCTGGCGTGGGCACCTTTGGGACTGGGTGTGTGTGGCGGGCAGGCCTGGGCTGCAGTCACCCCGGTCCACACTGGTAGAGTTGGGGTCTGTCCGGCTGGCGTGGGCACCTTTGGGACTGGGTGTGTGTGGTGGGCAGGCCTGGGCTGCAGAGTCACCGTGGCTGGCACTGGTAGAGTTGGGGTCTGTCTGGCTGGCGTGGGCACCTTTGGGACTGGGTGTGTGTGGCGAGCAGGCCTGGGCTGCAGTCACCCCGGCCCACACTCATAGCCTAGTCATGGCATCACCACTCTGGGGTGAAGTTGAGGCAGGAGCTCGGGGCCCTCATGTAGCACTGGGTGGGTCATGAAGCTCAGGGGACTTCAGCATGGGAGGAGGCGAACCCATCGCCTCCCAAGTTGGATAGCAGTCCCAGCGGCGGGGTCGGGGGACAGAGGGAAGCAGGTTCGGATTGGGTGGGTAGGGAACCCAGAGGAACAGACCCTCCCTGTGTGCCTCTCCCCAGAGGTAGAGGCAGGAGAGGTGGAGGCAGGGGGAGGTGGAGGCAGGGAGAGGTGGAGGCAGGGGGAGGTGGAGGCAGGGAGAGGTGGAGGCAGGGAGAGGTGGAGGCAGGGAGAGGTGGAGGCAGGAGAGGTGGAGGCAGTGAGAGGTGGAGGCAGGGAGAGGTGGAGGCAGGGGGAGGTGGAGGCAGTGGGAGGTGGAGGCAGGGAGAGGTGGAGGCAGGGAGAGGTGGAGGCAGGGAGAGGTGGAGGCAGGAGAGGTGGAGGCAGTGAGAGGTGGAGGCAGGGAGAGGTGGAGGCAGTGAGAGGTGGAGGCAGGGAGAGGTGGAGGCAGGGGGAGGTGGAGGCAGGGAGAGGTGGAGGCAGGGGGAGGTGGAGGCAGGGAGAGGTGGAGGCAGTGAGAGGTGGAGGCAGGGAGAGGTGGAGGCAGGAGAGGTGGAGGCAGGGGGAGGTGGAGGCAGGGGAGGTGGAGGCAGGGAGAGGTGGAGGCAGGAGAGGTGGAGGCAGTTAGAGGTGGAGGCAGTGAGAGGTGGAGGCAGGGAGAGGTGGAGGCAGGGGGAGGTGGAGGCAGGGGGAGGTGGAGGCAGGGAGAGGTGGAGGCAGGGGGAGGTGGAGGCAGGGGGAGGTGGAGGCAGGGGGTGGTGGAGGCAGGGACAGGTGGAGGCAGAGGGAGGTGGAGGCATGGGGAGGTGGAGGCAGGGGGAGGTGGAGGCAGGGGGAGGTGGAGGCAGGGGAAGGTGGAGGCAGGGGGAGGTGGAGGCAGGGGGAGGTGGAGGCAGGGGGCAGAGACACAGACAAGCCTCAGGTCATCAGGAGTTGGGGACTGGCATCTGAGATTCAGGGAGGATGGGGAGAGGGGAGGGCTGTGCATGTGGGGAGCAGGTCTGTCTCCCCTTGGCTGTGCCTCCCTGGGGAGTCCTAGACAAACGCACGGTCACTGCACCCCTTCCTCCCTGCCAGGACCCTGCCCACTGTGGCGACCCCCAGGCTCAGAGCAGGCACAGGAGCCCCTCCTTTGAGAGACTTCCTGCCAGCTCCCCTCTGTGGTTCCTGATCCACATCGTGGGTCAGCGCTGGTTTCTTGGCAACTGCTAAGATCTGTAAGGGCAGGGAAGAGAGAGCTAACTCCTCCGTCTTTGGGTCCCTAGCACCTGACAAAATAAACTGCTGGCTAAGGAAAGATGGAGGGAGGGAGGGAGGGAGGGAGGAAGGAGGGGAGGAAAGGCAGGAAGGATAGAGGGAGGAGGGAAGAGGGAGGAGGGAGGAAGGGAAGGAGGGAAGGACAAGGAGAAGAATGGAGGGAGGAGGGAGGAGGAAGGAACTGGACCGAGGCTATGGCTATAGAAGAATCGAATCGTGCCCTGGGCCATCCCAGGCAGGCTGAGAAGAAAAAGCCGGAACCAAGCCTGGGCTAGCTGGGTGGTTGTGGGGCAGGAAGTAGCCATCAGGGTGGCAGCCGGAAGAGCAGGGAGCCCCGCAGAGGAGGGAGGCTGGGGACGGTAGGGGCAGTGTCGGGGTGAGGTCTGGTCTCCCCATGCCTCTTCCTAGGAACGAGACCTCAGGCTCCACTCCCCAGCTGTGAAATGGGCGAGAACTGAGGGTGGCTGAGGCTCGGGGTTGTTCAGGGCGGGATGGGGCTCTGAACCCAGCAGGCCGGGCACCCAGGCCAGGGCTCCAGGGGAGGCCAGGTGGGGCGAAGGCCAAGAAGGGGCTGGGGCTGGGCAGGAAGGGCGTCTGGTGACCAGAGCCCTTTGCCTGAGCCAGCGTGGGAGGGAGGTGGGCTGGATGAGTCAGGGAGGCGCCAGGAGGGGCCTTGTCAGAGGTGACCCCCTCTGTCAGCCCCCAGGCCACTGAGCCCTGGGTACCGAGAGCCGGCAGGGGAGGCTGCAGACAGAGGAATGGAAGCTCCTTGGTTTTGGGGGCTCGGAGTAGAAGCACCTAGGGGGTCCCTCAAGAGGCCCCCAAATGCTGCCCCATGGTGAGAAACCAAGAGAGGCCCTGCAGGAACCCCCAGGTTACAAAGCGCTGCCACTGTGAGAAGCCAACCCTGCCGGCTGGGGCTGGGCTTTCTGCCTCACCAAGCCTTTTCCCACCCAGAGGACCCAGAGAGGGGCAGCTGTCCCCCCCCCGGGGGCACAGCGCCTCCTCCCTGTGTGATGGGGTGGGGCCCACAGTCTCCTTTCTCGCAACCTCCCCGGGCTGACCCCGGGTTCCACTTGGCCATGAGGGCTTCGGTATGTAAAGCCCATGGGAGGCAGAGCCTCCCGCCCCCACCAGTTTCCGGCTCTCTGTGTCGCCCCCAACACTGGGCTGGTGCCATGGAGGGAGGCTCCGCCTCCCCCGCATCAACTCGCCAGGGATCTCCGTCTTCCCAGGGTTGTGAGGGAAGCCAGCTCTGCAGGCCAATGTCCAAGTCCAGGCGTCGCCTCCTCCAGGGAGCCTTCCAGACCCGATCTGTGCGGCAGAGGCCCAGAAGGACCTAGGCGTGGGGATCCTAGCGGGAGGCAGAGGACCCCGCACATGCAGAGAGGGTCCGAGTGCTTCCTCCTGAGTGGGGGTCACCCATCTGGCTCCAGCCGCACAGAGCTACTCCCTCTAAGCTCTCCGGCTCTCTGCCTTCCTGCATTAGCTCCCACACCTGGCTGGCAAACCCCAGCTCGTCTTTCAGACCCAAGTTCAAGGCCTCCTCCTGCTCCGGGCGGCTCATCACCTGGCCTCCCCAGGCAGAGAGGTGAGAGTTCTGATCGCTGGGGCGTCTCCCTCGCCCCCTGGCCCAGGACTACAAGGAAAGGGGTTGACTCCCTCCCTCCCCTCCACGCCCAGCAGGGTGCAGACAACTGGGAAGGTGCTGGAGGCCCAGGGGTCAGGCTGAGCCAGCACCAGGCACTGGGGGGCAGGTTCCCATCTCTACACCCCAGCCCCAGGCGGATGGCGTGTGCCCCTCCCGCTGCCCCACCTGTCACCCACGTGCTGACCCCGGGCTGTCTCTGCTCCTGGCTCCCCTCCCAGCTTCGTCCCCAGCTGCCTCTCCAGGGAGGGGTGACAGCTGGCCCGTGCTACACCCTCGGGCCCCTCCCTGGACTGCCCCCTCCCTGGGGCGGGACCCCTGCGTGTGGTACAACCAAGGGGCCTGCTGATGGGGGCTCATGTGAGCCGTGCCCCAGAGCTGTGGGTGTGGGTGCTGCCAGCTGCCACTGCCTTTGCCCTGGCTTCCCAGATAGACCCAGACCCACACTCCGAAGCTGTGTTGTGAATGCTGTGGTGGGTGCCTGGTGGGGTCGGGGTTGCTGTCCCACGACCCTCTGGAAGCCTCAGCCATGAAGGGCCCCTGTGGGCACCTTTTCCCGGCACACTGTGCTGTGTTTCCCATTCTTGGGCTCTGCAGTGACTTGAGGGGGCAAGTCTATGACCACAGGGGAGGCTGGGCTCACGAGGGGACCAGAGACCTCAGCGCTGTGCAGGGAGCCCTGAGCCACCCTGGTTGGAGGCCCAGCCCTACTCTCCAGGCCTCCTGCCAGCTCCCTGTGGTGTCCAGGGGACCTGTGGTCCAGCCCGGAGGAGGAGTTCCCCCTCCTCTCGACATCCTGCCTGCAGCCCCTGCTCTTCACCAGAACCTCCTCACTCCCCAGGACCCCAGAGAGGACCCTCTCCAGCCAACCACTGGGCTCAGAACAGCCGGGTGAGGCGGCCACAGGAGCTGCCTGCAGGGGGCAGAGTCGGGACGGGGACCGAGCCGGACACTCATTCTGGAAGTGTCTGCAGGGGGACGTTGGAGGTGGGCAGCTGGGAGTGCCGAGCTGCGGACGAACATTGTCAGGCCCTCGGTGGGGACTGGGAGGTAGAAGTGGGGGGATCTGTGGAGGAAGGAGAAGAAGGGCCAGCGTCCCGAGTCGGGGGGTGGTCGGCGGTGGATGAGGACGGCAGGAACAGACCCGAGCTTGGGGAGTCCCACTCAGAACAAGGCACCGTCAGGGTTCTGTGCATTCTGGTGATCCTGGCTGGCAGCCAAGCCCCGAAGCGGAGCCTGGGACTGTGAGGGTGTGGGGGTGTGCCGGGGTGGGAGGTGGATGGAGCCCCCCCCTCCACTGCCTGGCCCCTTGGGCTGAACCTTGGGCTTCGGAGCCAGAACAGACACAGGAAATCGCCTAATTGCATTTGCGCAGGAACACCAAATCCCTCGCAGCTGCACGGGGCCGAGCCAGGGCCACGGGTGGGGTCGGCCATTTGAGAGTCCTGACAGCTCTGCTGTGCATGCCAAGGGGCCTGGGCCGTTGGCCGGGGGGCGCCTTTCCCAGGCCAGAGGCCCCCACCCCACCCCAGGAGAGCTGCCCCCCTTTCAGTTCCCAGAACAGAGCCCAGCTGTGGAATAGTGAGGGGGTGAGGTCATGGGGAGGGGGCCCACATGACTCACATCCTGGGGTAGGGGAAAGGGAGGAGACGGGGAAGGGGCCCAGAGGCCTCCACGTCCTCAGTCTGCTGGGTCAGAGGCCAGGGGCTGGCGGGGCTTCTCCCCAGCCTTGGGTTTTAGGGGAGACACCAGGAGATGCTTACTCTGCACCCCCACTCTGTCCTCCAGGCCCCTAGCCAGGGAGAGCTCAGTCGGGGTGATCTTTGAGGGGCCCCAGCTCGGCAGGGGTGATGTTCCCAGAGTACACACCTGGGCCTCGTGCCAGGACCGCACTGCCGTTGTCAGGGCAATGGCAAGGCAAACAGTCAATGTTTGCCTCACTAAACAGCCTCACGAAAGTGAGGCTGCGGCACCCGGAAGGGATCCCTGGAGGGGGACGTGGTCGCCTTGTTCCCAAGCCTGTTTGCACACACACGTGACTGTCAAGGGTTCCCGTGTGTGAGCACGAGCGTACTTGTATGTGCCTATGGGGTGCGGGCGTGTGTGCCTGTGTGGCTGGAGTGTGGGCTCGTGGAGAACGTGTGTGAGTTGGGTGTGCACCTGCGTGTGCCCCGGGCCTGGGGAGCCCGAGCACGGCTGCGCTCCATGTGTAGGACATGAGCTGTGAGCAGAGCCAGGGCCTTTGTGGGGCCGTTGGGGCCCGGACTCATTGCCCATAGGGGTGCACCCGAGGAAACGTGTGCACACGAGTATCTGGGGTCTCTGCACCAGTGTGGGCTTTTAAGCTCTCCTCTCCCCTACGGCTTGGTGGAGGGGGTCTGTGGAGCTGGAGTGAGGGCCCTGGACCCATTGGAAGCCCAGGTCCAAGGAGGAGCTGGGGCTCCATCTCATGCCCCAGGCCCAGGGGCACACACCCCAGCTGAACCCTTGCTCACATGGAGGGGCTGGGACATGGGAACACGGAGAGCAACATGGCCAGGCTTCCCCTCCATGGAACCCCTCCACCTCCTCAACACTCTGCCCCAGTTCTGCACCACCCTCCGTTTGGAGGGGCTGGGGCGTGAGTGAGCATGAGGGCCCCTGCGCCCCAGGCTCTGCCTCCCCAGGTGGAACGAGGCCCAGCAGCCCCCAGCCATGCGGAGGCCGGCAGAAGCGGGAAGCTGGGCCTCATCTGCCCGGATGATGGGAGCCAGGTGTGGGGAATTAAGTGGCTTCCTCGGGGGCCGGGAGTTGAAGGCATTTCTGAGGAGCAGGACAGGCAGGCGGATTCGGGGGCGTAGGGGGCGGGGTGCACAGGCGGCTGGGTTTGCGTGGCTGGAGTCCCCTGTGGCTTCGGTGGGGGGAGTGGGCCTTGAACTCGGGCCTGTGGAAGGGCCTGGCTTTTGTCTGAGAGGCTTAGGGGAGACCTAGGAGAGATTAGATCATGTGCTGGCAGGGCTGTCTGGCCAGGGGACTGGGGCCTGGTGGGGATCAGGCTGCAGGGTCAGGCAGCGGACACTGGCCGGGAAGAACTGAGACCCCAGCGGCAAGACCCCAGCCCTGCTCCCCGTTCTGGCCTGGGCGCCCTCCCTGGGTCTGGGATAATAAGCCCCGTAGGAGTGTAGAGACCCTGGACCCCCGACTCAGGCTCTAGGAGGGCGATGGGAGGCAGGGCCACGACAGCTGAGGCCGAGGTGTCTGCAGGACCCGGACTGTCTGAGAGGTGCCGGGCCGGGGCTCTGATAACCGGGTCCAGGCCAGCCTGTGTCTACCTCTGTCCCCCAGTGGGGCATGTGGGACCCCGAGAAGCCATGGTTTCAGTCTCTGAGAGCAGAAGCACTCCCTTACCTCAGTTTCACCATTTTTGAAATGGCTCAAATGACCGGGCGAGGTGGCCCATCCCTGTAATCCCAACACTTTGGGAGGCCGAGGTGGGCGGATCACCAGAGGTCGGGAGTTCGGGACCAGCCTAACCAACATGGAGAAACCCGGTCTCTACTAAAAAATACAAAATTAGCCGGGTGTGGTGGTGCACGCCTGTAATCCCAGCTGCTCAGGAGGCTGAGGCAGGAGAATTGCTTGAACCCGGGACGCGGAGGTTGCCGTGAGCCGAGATCGTGCCATTGCACTCCAGCCTGGGCAACAAGAGCGAAACGCTGAAACAAACAAACAAAAGAAACAGCTCAGAGAGACTCTGCAGAGGGCTCTGAAATAAGGATGGGGTGGGGTTGGGTGAGCCGACCCTGTAAGGTGCCCCCAGCTATGGGGTTAGGCCCAGGCAGGAGCCCACCGGTCTGCTGGGCTTCTGTTAGCAGGGCTGGTGGTGGGACAGGAGGTGTCCTGCCTGGACATGTGCGGGGCCTCCTTTCCTCAGCCTTGGACCTCATGTGGGGCCCCCTTTCCCCAATACACCCTGCGTTTGGGGTGCAGGAGGGAGCACCCGCAGGTAGGGTGGAGGTGCCACCTGGCGACGCACTGTGGCCAGTCTCCCTGGACTCCAGTATCTTCTTCCTGGGCCCTCCAGGGTCACCTGGGTCTAGGTCCTGGCTCTACCTAGGGAGGAAGGTGGGCTGGGAGAGGGGGACAGAGGAGCTTTTGTCATGTCCTTGAGTTTCTTCAGGCTTGAATGGGCCTTGGAGTCCCACCTTCATCCCCACAGGGCACAGGGGTGCCCAGATCCTCACAAGGCCCCGGGACCCTCGCCTGGGTCAGAGGGCACCTCATGACCACGTGGGCAGCCTCTATTTAAAGATGGACAAGGTGAGGCCTGAGGGCCAGCCTGGGACTGCCCTCGTGGACCAGGGCTGCCCACACTGTGTGGCCCAGCAAGGCCCTGCATAGACAGGAGGAGTGGGTGCAAAACCGCGCCGGTCTCGGCTGTGGCGTGACTGTCCCTCTGTGTCCCCCACCAGGCCCACTGCTCAGTGGAGCGTGGAAGACGAGGAGGAGGCCACCCGCGACCCATGCCGGCAGGAGAGAGACCGGCAGCTTCAGGCCCAGGATGTGGACGGAGGCAGCCATGTCCCCGAGCGGCCGGAGCACGAGATGCTGTGAGCAACCCCCACCGCATGCCCAGCCTCTGACCCCTGTCCGTGCACCCTGGGGCCTGAGCTGAGGGGGAGGTCAAGGGCCTGGGCTTGGGGGTCCCAGTGCAGCACGAGAACAAGGAAGAGCCCCCAGAAGCAAGCACGGGAGGGGGCGAGTACTCCTGGGGTGAGGGGGGCTGCGGCCCTGGGTGAGGGTCTGCTAATGCCTGGCTGCCTCCTGGACGTTGACCCAGGCTCTGTGCTCGTGAGCTGGGCCTTGCTTGTACTGCCTCTGACCCCAGCCACGCAGCCAGCCCCTGGGCCCCCAACCAGACTCCCCCGCCAATGACTCACAGAGCCACGTCCAACTTGGCGGCCAGGCTGGCTTGCTTCCTCCTTGGGCCCAGGAGGCCTCCGCGGCTGGGCTGGGCTGTTTTTCCAATAATGCTCCCCTTCCTCCTGGCCTCTTTTGTTCCATTTTCTCCGAGTCAGCAGCCTTGGGTAGAGTGGGGTTCAGCGGTCACCACGGTCAGGCCCTCGGCCACCCCCGCCAAGAGCCCTAGCTCTCCAGGAGCTCACCCTGCCACATAGGCGCTTAGGAGGAGCCTGGGGATCAGGGCAGCCCTTGGGGAGCCCCAGGATGATAGGGGAGGCATAGCCCTGCCCTAGGGAGCCCCAGACTGATGGGGGGGGCCCAGCCCTGCCCTAGGGAGTCCCAGAGTGATGGGGGAGGCCCAGCCCTGCCCTCAGGGAGCCCTACACTGATGAAAGAGGCGCAGCCTTACCCTCAGGGAACCCCAAACTGATGGGAGAGGCATAGTCCTGCCCTCAGGTAGCCCCAGACTGATGGAGGAGGCACAACCCTGCCAAGCCTCAAGGAGTCCTGAACTGATGGAGGAAGCACAGTTGTCAGGCTGCCCCAGACTGATGGGGGAGGCACAGCCCTACCCTCAGGGATTCTCTAACCACAGGAGACACAGCCCAGAGCCAGCTCTGTGGCAGACAGGGTCTCCCACACTTGGAGCCCAGGGCCTGAGCAGGTGCCATGAGGTGAGTGTGGGCCCCGAGCAGAGGAGGCAGCAGCCGCCCAGTCCTAAGCTCCCCCCTGCTACCCTCAGCCTCAGCCTGAAGCCCTCGGAGGCCCCTGAACTGGATGAGGACGAGGGCTTTGGCGACTGGTCCCAGAGGCCAGAGCAGCGGCAGGAGCATGAGGGGGTCCAGGGCGCCTCGGACAGCAGAGAACCCCCCCGGTGCAGGAGTCCTGAGGGGGAGCAAGAGGACAAGTGAGTGAGGGCCCCGAGGGTGGGCAGTGGGCAGAGCGGGGCTCCCGCCGGGCCTCGAGGGTGGGCGCTGGGCAGAGCAGGGCACAGCAGGCTCCCTTCAGGCCCTCAGCCTGTGCCTGAGCAGCCACCCCATCCTCCCCTTTCCAAGCCGCCCCTGAAATGCCCCCATGGCCAGGAAAGGGGGAGAAAGGAGGGGAGGGAGGAAGAGGGCGAGACAGCATGGTGGCCGGCAAAGGGCCGCGAGGAAACCTCATTCTGGGGCTCTCCAGGGCCCCTGGGCCCCATCCAGGCAGCTGCGGGGCCAAGCCGAGTGCTGCCACATCAGCACACAGCTGCGGCCGCTTCCGTAATGGAGGCTGAGAGCCGCCGCCGCCCCTTCCTCCCTCGGGGCTGGCTGATCTCCATTCCCACGGAGGGGAGCAGGTATTTCCAGATGTGCATGCCGGAGAGTGGGGTGGGAGGACACACTTTCCAGATGTGTGGATGTGTGTGCCGGCCTCAACCCCAGTGGGCCCAACGGGGGCTGCGTGCAAGCCCCACCTCACTACCCCTGCCCAGCCTGCTCGGGGTCCTTGCTGCTCTCAGATACTTGCGGCCACGATGGGGCCGGCCCCACCCGCTCTGCGGGGCCCGGGCCATCTAGGACCCCAGCCCTGCTCAGGACCCCCTTGCCTTGAGTGGGACCAGAGCCCGTGGCTGGGCTGACAGTTCTCCCTGGTCGGGGTCCTTCCTGCCCCCTCTGAAGTCCTAAACCAGCCTGGAGCTCTCGGGACCAGTGTTGCTGAGCGACGCTGCCTTGTCCTCCTATAACCAGGGCACCGGTCGTGGTCTGGCACAGTGCTCGCTGCCCCCTCCCCAGGCCTCAGTCTCCCCCTACATGCTTGGGAGTCAGCAGCCCTGCATTTCTGAGCCGGGGCAGCGCCCTTCTCCCTGGCCTCGGGCCTAGGCGGGCCAGGCTGCTCCCAACAGCAGGGGGCGCTTTGACTCTTCCGTGAAACCCAGCTCGAGAAGCCGCCCTACCCCCTGCACCTGCCAGGCTGCACAGACTGGCTGCTGAACGGGCCCTCTGTGTGGCTGCTGCTGGCTCAGACCCCTGCCCACCTTGGGCGGGTGGGTCTGGGTCTTGGCTGGCACGCACACCCAGGGGCCTGAAATCATGGAAAATTCGAGAATTTCCCATCTTCTCCTCCAGGTTCAGTCCTGCTCAAATGCAGAGCCGCTGGAAGCTGCCAGCTGGCTGGCCTCCCCTCCCCCGCAGCCGGCAGCCCCTTGGCCCTGCTACTCAGTGGCCTGGCCCCTGCCCCTGCCTAGCCCTCCAAATGACCCAGCCTCCAGTCCCCCACACACCCCAGGGCCCCCACAGGGAGCCGAGCAGGAGTGGTGGTCCCGGCAGCCTGGCCCCCCGGGCACCTCACCAGACCAACTGGGTGGGCGGGCAGCTGCCAAGCTGAGGCCCAGCCAGGAAGCTGGGGTTGAACCCAGCCTCAGTGCCTGGGGGCCCCTCCGTCTGTAGAGCCCCGCCTGGGGGGGGACTGGGCAGTTCCCCAAGGGCCTCAGGCCCTGACACAGGGACCCAAGCAGAATGCGCCGGCTCTGAGGCCGCTGGACCTTCTTTCCCAATGGGCTTGGGTCTCAGATCCCTTGGCACTCAATTAGCCTGACTACCTGCATTTTACAGATGGGGAAACTGAGGCTTGGAAAAAGGAAGGGGTCAACCAAGCAATCCAATGGCCCTAGAACGGCTTTGCCTCCCTTTCCACCCACAGGCCCGGCCTGCATGCTGGTGAAAAGGAGGACGGTGATGAAGTCCACCTGGAGGAGTTGAGTCTGAGCAAGGAGGAGCCAGAGCCAGAGGACACTGTCCAGGACAACCTGGGGGCCGCAGGGGCTGAGGAGGAGCAGGAGGAGGTGATGGCTCCACCTCAGAGGGTCTGACTGCACCCCCACCCCAGGGATGAGCCTGCCTTTGCTGTCTGCACCACTCTGTGGGCCCTGTGGGTCTAGCCCAAAGTGGGTCAGCACCCCACACCCCTAGACCTTGCAGCCCCTTCTGGGCCCACATTCTCAGAGAGGGTGAGGCTCGGTGATCCTCTTGCAAGATCCGGAGACATTTCCCCAGATTCCTCAGTCCCTCCCCACCAGCTCTAGAACGGGAGCATGTCAGGGCCACAGAGAACCTGGGGCTCAGGGAGGAACAGCATTTGTTCCCACAGGTGCTGGGCAGGGCAGGAGGGATACCAGCAGAGGGTCACCTGGGATGTCTGTTTTGTCTTGTTTCTTTTCTAGCACCAGAAATGTCAGCAGCCCAGGACACCCAGCCCCTTGATCTTGGAGGGGACCATTGAACACAGCTCACCTCCTCTGAGCCCCACCACCAAAGTAGGTCAAGCTGCAAAGCCTGCCATCTTCTCCCCTCTCCCGGACTCATACCCAAAAGGCCAGTCCCACATGCCAGCCACAGGAAGACCAGGCCCAGGCCCGGCTTTTGTCTGCTATCCCCCGCATTTCCTGATGCTCAGCAAAGCCCCGTGATATAAGGGTTGGGGGTTGGATTGGTGGATGGAGTAGTTGTGGGGATGGAGGGTGGGCTTTACCTCAGCTGCTGCAGGCCTGTGTTTCTCTCCACCCTCTGCAGCTCATCGACAGGACCGAGTCCCTAAACCGCTCCATAGAGAAGAGGTCTGTCTGTCTGTCTATCTGCTTTCTGGGCTCAGATCTTAGGTTTCCCCAAGAGGGGGTTGAAGGGAGTCACAGGGTGGAGATCTGGAGACCGAGGGGCGCTCTGGGGGAGGCTTGGGCAGGTTGGGAGAAGCCTTGTGGGAGACATGGGGCCTGACACATCTTCTACCCTCCAGTAACAGTGTGAAGAAGTCCCAACCAGACTTGCCCATCTCCAAGATTGACCAGCGGCTGGAACAATACACCCAGGCCATCGAGGTATGATCTGGCTCCTGTCTGCTGCCAGGTCCCTCCTCCATCCTGGCACCATTCCTTCATTCAACCAACGCCCTTCCATCCAATCAATGCCCCCTTATTCAACCAACACCCTATCCAACCAATGCTTCTCCATCCAGTCAGTGCCCCACGACCCAATCAGTGCCCCTCCGTCTAATCAATGTCCCTCCATGTAACCAATGCCCCTCCGTTCAATCAATGCTATTCCATCCAACCAAAAATCTCCCATCCTATCAATGCTCCTGCATCCAGTTAATGTTCCTTTATACAACCAATATGCCTGCAACCAATACTCCTCCAATTATTCAGTGTTTCTCTATTCAATCAATGCCCCCATCAGAACAATACTGCACCATCCAATCAATGCCCTTTCGTGCTATCAGTGCTCTTCTCTCCAGCCAATACTCCTCCAGTCAATCAACCAGTACTCCTTAATCCAATCAATGACCCTCCATCCAATCAAGATTCCTGCATCCATCCAATACTACTACACCCAATCAATGCCCCTCCCATCCAATCAATTCTTCTCCATCCATCAATGCTTCTCCATCTGACCAATACCCTCCATCCAACCAATACTTGTCTATCCAATTAATGGCTCACCATGTAACCGATGCCAATCCCACATGCCAGCCCCTCCATTCAATCAGTATCTCTCCATCCAGTCATTGCTCCTTCATTCAACCAATACTCCTCCATCCAATCAATGTCCCTTCATCCAACCAATATTCCTTCATCCACCAACTCCTTTCAATACAACTAATACACCTTCATCCAGTCAGTACCCCTATTCGTTCAGTGCTCCTCCATTCAATCAATTCCCCTCCATCCAACCAATGTTCCTCCAGCCAACCAAAACAACTTCATCCAATCAATGCCCCTCCATCCAATAATGCCTTGCATCCAATCAATGGCCTTCTATCCTATCAATTTCCCTCTAACCAACCAAAATAGTTTCACCCAATCAATGCCTCTGCTTCCAATCAATGCCCTTCTATTCAACCAGTACTTCTTTATTTAATCAGGACATCTCCATCTAACCAGTATCCTTCCATCGAACCAATACTCCTCTCCTAAATCAGTGCTCCTTCATCCACCCAGGGCCCCTCCATCCACCCAGTACTCACTTATCCAACAAACACTCCTTTATCTTGCCAGTATTCCTCCATCCAGTCAGTGCTCTTCTGTGCAACGAATGCCCCTCCATCCACACATTACTCCTTCACCCAATCAATGCCCTTCTATTCAACCGGTACTTCCGATTTCAACTAATTCCCCTTCAACCAACCAATACTCCTCCATCCAACCAGTACTCCTCCATGCAATCAATGTTCCTCTACCCAACCAACATCCTTCTATCAAACCAATATTCCTCCATCCAATTAATCCCTCTCCATCCAACAAGTACCCCTCCATCCTATCAATGCTCCTGTATCCTACCAATATTCCTCCATCCAACCAGTACTTCCCCATCCAATCAATACTCCTTCATTCATTCAGTGCTCCTCCATCCAGTCAATACCTTTCCATTGTACCGGTGCCCCTCCATCCAACCGATACTCCTTCATCCAATCAATGTCGTGGCATGCGATCAATGCCCCTTCATTGAACCAATATGGCTCTGTCCAACCAATACTACTCCATTCAATCAATGCCCCTCCATCTAACAAATACTCCCTCATATAATCAGTACCCCTCCATCCAATCAATATTCCTTCATCTATCAACACCTTTTTGTACAACCAATACTCCTCCATCTAATCAATGTTCCTCCATCCAACCAATACTCTGCAATTTAACCACTGTGCTTCCATCCATTCAATGTCCCTCCATCCATTCCATGGTCCCCCAGCCCTACCCCATGAGCAGCATGGAGGCAGACCCACATCTGTCCTGTGCGCCATCATCTCCCTGATGCTCTTCAGGACCGGGAGATGTCTCACAATTGCATTGAATGTAGGAAGGCACATGTTTTCAGTGATTCCCCACTCTAGGGCTGCATTGGGAAAGCACTCCCAGGGAAAATACGAACACAAAGCAAGGGGTTGCCCAGTGTGACCCTCTGATGTGACCACGGTGGCTGTTCACTAAGGTAATCCTGATGCTTTGCCTCCTCTGCAGACCGCTGGCCGGACCCCCAAGCTAGCCCGCCAGGCCTCCATAGAGCTGCCCAGCATGGCCGTGGCCAGTACCAAGAGTCGGTGGGAGACGGGTGAGGTACAGGCTCAGTCTGCCACCAAGACTCCGTCCTGCAAGGTAAGGTCCCCTCCAGGGGCAAGGCTAGGCTGCAGAGCCAGCACCTGGGAGTTTAGCAGCAGGCCAGTTTTCTTTGTTAAGGCAAGCGTGGGACTGTCCAGCGTGAATGTGGGTAGACAGAACACTGAGGCACTGCAGTAGGGTTGGGTTCACCCTTGCTGGTGTAGAAGGCTGTGTTGTTTGAGTGGAGGTGGATGGCACCTTTATCCCTTTCCCTGCCACTTCCACTGGGATCACACAGTAGGCAGGTCCCAGGCCCCCTGACCAGGTAAGGCAAGGCAAGAGAGAAGGGCCCAGGGCTTCTACTCCCCGAGATCCAGGGGTCTGCACTTGTGACATATCCTTCTGCTGCCCCCAGGATATTGTGGCTGGAGACATGAGCAAGAAAAGCCTCTGGGAGCAGAAGGGAGGCTCCAAGACCTCATCAACAATTAAGGTAGAGCCTTAATGTGGTTGGTGCAGGAAGGGTGGGTGCAGCAGGGGAGGGCAAAGAGGGACTGTCCTCTGCATCTGTGAGGGCTTCCCACAGGCAGAGGCATTGTCTTTCTGCTGCTCTCACCTTCACTCTTGGTCTCCTTCCCCAACAGAGCACCCCATCTGGGAAGAGGTATAAGTTTGTGGCCACCGGGCATGGGAAGTATGAGAAGGTGCTTGTGGAGGGGGGCCCGGCGCCCTAGGCCTCCTGTCTCGGTGAGTCCCTGGCAACCGGCAACCCGTAGAGTGGGACGAGGTGCACGCACGTGCACTGTGCTGGGAACTTGGCAGCCTGGAGGGGGCCTGGAGCCCTGTTGCATGCTGCAAGGGTGGACCCCGAGTTGGCCAGAACCCAGACCATCTCAGTCTCCCAGCCCTGCACAGATGCTGCCTCCCTCATCTGACACCAGATTCAAACTCTCTGTTCACTTCACTGGAGACAGCCCGGCTCAGCCACTGCTCCACTAGGGAAGCTCAAGGCTCCCATCTGGGACTCCCCAAAAGCCCCAGCAGGGCTCATGAGGGAAGTGAGGGGCAGCCTGGCCACCACAGGGCTAGCATTGAAGAAAGCAGGTGGCATGGAGCCCAGGTTCCCTGACCATCTGTATGCTGGTGGTCCATAGAGGGGCAGGAACTTAGGTCCTACTCCCTGTCCCAGCCGAGAGTCATTCAGAGGTCCTGATGCCCTCCCCATCCCATGCTGCAGACAGAGCAGTGCCACTCCTGCCATGGTTAGACACACATTTATTAGTGACCTGGACCCCAGGCTCCATTTCCAGCACCCATCACACCCCAGGGTGGGGCAACTGTCCTCCTACCATCTTCCCTGCCAAACCCTGACTCTCAAGCAGCTGTGGCAGAGGCTTTTTCTGGCACCTCTGTGTCCCTCTCCTGTGGTTGGTGACCCCTGCCAGAGCCTGGCTGACTGCCAACTGGGCGCCTTCACTCTCCCTGCCGGGGTCACAGCCCCTTCTCGGTCCCACTTGGCCAGGCTGTTCCCACAGGGTTGGGACTGAGGGCTCCCTCCTCATCCAGCGGTCAGAGCCTGGGCGTGGCCAATGCTGAGACCCTCGCTGTCCCACCAGTGAACCCCTCGAGTTCTGCCCCCTCAGGCTGTCAGCCCCGGTAGGGGACGCAGAGGGGGGCAGTGAGAGGGGTCACGCTGGGCCCTCCTCTACCCCCTGATAAGCCCCTCCCTGCCTGCCCCTGAGCACTTGTATTGGTGCCAAGTCTCACGCTGGCTGAGGCTCCCCCTGCACCCTAGTCCCAGGGTCTGGCTCTGCCATCAGGAAGAGCACGCAGCAAAACTGCTGACTGCTCCTGAGGCCGATGGCCAAGCCAGCCTGACTGCACCCATGCCTCAGCAAGCAGAGATCTGCCCCCAAACCTTTGACAGCAAAAGGGAGGAACAACGCGAGGCCCAGGCCCCTGAGCAGCCTGGCCTAGGTCAATAGGTGCGGTCCTCCGCCATTTTCCCTAAAGTTTTCATCCCAAGGCCCCCATCCCACATCCCAACGCAGACCCCTCCTCTGTTCCCCTCACACCACTGCAGCCCGGGGGCTCCAGCTCGTCCTCTCTGCCCTTTCCACCTGATCACCTTCCTGACACCCAGACTTCCCTCGGCACCCCGTGTGCCCTTCCCAGGCTGCCCTGCACCCCATGCCCCTTGGGCCCTGGTGCATCTTCATGCAGTAACTATGGGCCCCCAGCTAGAACCTCAGCCCCCTCTTCTGTCCACCTCATGGTTCTGGGCCCTGGGGGCCGTTCCGGCCACTTCACTAGAGCCTCCAGCCAGTCGCTGTGCGGTTGAAGTTCTTGGGCTGAGGGTTCAGCTCCAGGATGGAGCAGACTGTGGGAGGGGGCCGGGTGGCCTCCTGCAGCTTCCGGGCGTTGAAACGAGGCCGGTACAGGAAGGGCAGGCGGGTGAGGCCGGCTGGGGTGCGCTCCCCACCGCTGGGCCCCGTCAGGCGCCCTCGGGCCTCCACCACCGACATGCGGTACAGCACAGCATCCCACATCCTGGAGGCCCGGGAGGCGGGGACCCGGGGCACGGCAGGGGTGGGCGCCTCCTGCTCTGTGGGGGCGGGCATCTCCGGCTCCAGGCTCTGCCGCGGCCCTGGGCACGTAGGCTCCGGGGCCTCCTCCAGCAGCTGCTTCTTGAGCCGCGTCCAGCCACTGAGCCGGGGCTTGGGTGCAACTTTGGGGACAGGGCATGGGTGAGGGCCTGATGGTGGGGTAGGGGATGAGGCCCAGGCGGGGCTGGACACTCGCTCGGCCTCAGCGGCAGGGCCAGCCATGGGGGGCTCCTCCAGTTGCTCTCTGCCAGGGCCCACGGGGGTCAGGTTGTGCGGTGAGGACTCCAGCGAGTGGCAGGTCGGGGCTATGGGCACCACGACCCTGGCACTAGCCTCTCTGGGCACCGAGGCATGGAAGCTGGGTGGCGGCCGTGGTACAGGGGGCTCCTCAGGCCGGGGACTGGCAGCCTGGGCTGTGGTGGGCAGTGGGCGGATGTGAGCCACTGGGACCAGGGGCTGGGCCCTGGGGAGACGTGGGGTGGCATCTCCGTCCTGGCTGTTGGATCCCCCTTCTGGGGCTGTCCTGGGGGGCTCAGGGATCCCGTCGTGTGGGGATGGTGCCAGCTGGATGTGCACCTGGGTGATGTGGGTGCCCCCAGCCACAGGGGCTGAGACAGGGACGAAGCCACTGGGGGGCCGGGCAGGTTCTGGGGCCGGGGCTACAACCTGGGGCCCCGTGGCCTTGTGGGCAGCTAGAATCCTGCGCTGGGTGAGGCCGACAGACAACGTGAACTTCTGCAGGGGTGACGCCATGTGGTAGATGACGGGGGTGTGCGGGGAGCGGGGTAGGGCAGCCACTGTGCGGGGAGCCTCAGTGGGGCGTGGGGCTTCAGGAAGGCGTAGGGCTTCGGCGGGGTGCGGGCCCTCAGCAGCGTGCGGGGCTGTGACCTCCTGGTCGTGGCTGGCCTCACTCACGGGGGACAGGGAGGTGCGGAAGGCCCCGGGTGGGGCGAGGTGCGCGCCCCCCATCATCTTCTTCCGGGCTGCCTTCCTCAGGAGCTTCTGCAGACGCAGGTTGTCCTTTCCTGGCTTGGGCAGCACGGGCGGTGGGGGTCCAGGGGCTCCCTGGAGGCTCGGACCACTCACCTCGGGTGCCATCGACGCGGCTGAGATGAGCATGGCTGTGTCCTAGGGTGGGAGGGACAGTAGTCAGGCCAGCCCTCCTCCCCACCGAGGTGGGAGGCCTGTGCCTCCTGTGATCCAGGGAGGACCTGGGGCCAGGGCTGTGGGGGCCTGAGTATTCGGCTTCCTAAACACCCAGAACCTGCCGGGGCCGTCCTGAGCTCGACTGTGCCTTGGGGACTTTGGGGTGGCCCGACCATCACCCTTGTGTAGAAATGAGGCCACAGAGACCGAGTCCCTCCAGGGATGGGGCTAGAACCTGCCTCCAGGTCTCTGTCCTCCATGCCACCCCAGCACAAAGCAGGCCCCAAGTACACAGCCTGGGTCAGGCCACAGTGCCGTGTGGGCTGGGGTGGGAGACGTGGGTGAGCTCCAAGTGACAGGCATGCCCCTGGCCAGCTGCTGGCTGGGCCCACGGCTGGAAGAGCGGCTGCCCACAGACACGTGAGGGGCGCCCCGTTGTCGCCGGCCCGACCACAGGCGCGTCCGCTGCGAGCCAGCGGTGAGGGGTGGCGGCCAAGAGGCTCGGGAAAGCTGAGGCTGCATCATCAGAGGTAGATCGGCAGGAAGGTGGGAGCAGTTTTCGCTGAGCTATGCTAAATGGGATATTCCCGCAGACCTCCTGTCTGGGGTGGTCCGGCCAAGCCGCCCACCCTGGTTTCTGGGCACCACGTGTTTGCAAGGACATTGACAAATGGCATCTGGGCTGAGCCAGAGGCTGTCTGGTTTGGGGAAGGAGGAGTCCTGGGGGCTGCTACTGGTGGGGGCTGGCTCTGCCAAGGCAAGAACAGAGCTGCTGGAGGGGTGGGGGCGGAAGGAGCCTGCCCAGGACCTACTCTCAGCTGCCGGTCTCCTCTGGATGACAGGACGGCAGGAACCACGAGAACCCCGGTTCTAGCTCCCGGGGTGGGCAGGCTGCTTTCCCTCCACCTGGAGTCAGGTCTCCAGCCAGAGGTCCTGACCCAGGGCACAAGTGCTCACACTGGGAAGCAGGCCTCTGAGGCAGGACATCTTCTCCCGTGGTAGAGTCGGAGTGTGGGCAGGGCAGGGAGGCCAGCAACGAGCAGGCTCTGTGGGCTTGCAGGAGGCAGGTCTGTGGCCCCTCCCTGGACCCTAGCCTAATGCCCCCTGCACCCCATGCCTATGTTCCAGCTTCCTGGGTCTGCAGGTCCAGACGGGCGACACCCTCCATGTACCCAGGGGAGATCCCAGCCAGACACCTGCACCCCCGCCCTGGCTAAGAAGTTGCTTCCTGTTGCCAGCATGACCTACCCTCGCCTCTTTGACGCCCCCCGCTGCCACCTCCTTTTGCTCCTGGACCCTTTAGCCTCTCTGCCCTTCCTCTCTCTGACCCCAACCACCCCCCGCCAGCTCTGCTTCTCACTACCTGGGGGAGGAAAGAAACTCCTGATCGTTGGCCAGAGGAACTTACCCCTGGAGAGGCCAAGTACCTTCTAGGAAGTTAGGAGGTTGAGGCACAGCCCTGTGCAGAGAGGGCGGGTCACCCCCCAGATCCAAGGGGAAACTGCAGGTCAAGGGCTGGTAACGGCCACGCAGGAAGCTTGATGCTGCATCCCCCCCGCACTCTGCTTGCCACCCCCCACCCCGCCATTTTATATAATAAAGCTCCCTGTGTATTCTCGTGTGCTGGCTGTCTTGTACTCACTAAGGGGGCAGGGCTGGCCAGGATGGAAAGATTGGGCCAGTGGCCAGCCCATTCCCACACTGCACAGCATTCTGTGGCCTCTGGGTTCAGGCAGTCTGACCTGTCTCATGGCCTTTGCAGTGTAAGCCTCCAGGACGTAAGCTCTCTGGTGGCCTAAGTCAGAGCACACACAATGGGTGGGGTCCAGGCTTCCTTTTCCAGAATGTCCGTGATATCCCTACCCCCACCATGACTAGCCCAATATAAACTTCTGTGCCCTGACTGTGCACTCACTGAGGGCAAGATTCACCTCGGAGCCTCCCCCAACACCACCCAGGAGGTGCTCAGTGAAGGTTTGGTAAACAGTCAAATGGGTGGATGGGTGGGTGGATGGATGGATGGGTGGGTGGGTGGATGGATGGGTGGGTGGGTGGATGAATGGATAGATGAATAGACGAATGGGTGGATGCGTGGAGAGATAGGTGGGTGAATGGATGGGTAGGTGGGTGAGTGGATGCATGGCTGGGTGGGCGAGTGGAGGGATGGGTGAGTGGATGAATAGGGGATGGATGAATGGATAGAGGGATGTATGGATGGGTGAATGGGTAAGCAGGTGGGTGGATGGATGGATTGATGGATGAATCAGTGGGTGAATAGGTGAGTGAATGGATGGGTGGGTGGGAGGATGGCTGGCTGACTGGCTGGCTGGCTGGCTGGCTGGCTGGATGGATGGATGGGTTAGTGAATGGATAGGAGGATGGATGAATGGAGGGATGTCTGAGTGGATGGGTAGATGAGTGGATGGATGGATGAATGGAAGGATGTCTGAGTGGATGGGTAGATGAGTGGATGGATGGATGAAAGGATGGCTGGATGAATGGACAGAGTGAGGGAGGGAGGGATGGAGGGAGGGATGAGTGATGGATGGGTAGGTGGCTGGGTGGATGGATGGATGGAAGGAAGGAGGGATAAATGAAGGGATAGGTATGTCGTTGGATGGATGGATAGGTGGATGCATTGGAGGGATTGATGAATGAAGGGATGGATGCATGGATGGGTAGATGGATGGACGGATGGATGAAGGGATGGATGAGTGGATGGACGGATGGATGGATAGGTGGATGGATGATGGAGGGATGGATGTGTGGGTGGGTAGATGAATGGATGGATGAAAGGATGGATGGATAGATAGGTGAGTGAGTGAGTGAATGGATACGTGGATGGATGAATGGAGGGATGGATGAGTAGATGGGTAGATGGGTGGGTGGATGGATGGGTGAAGAGATGGATGCCTGGAAGGACAGAGGGAGGGAAGGATGGATGGAAGAAGGGATGAATGAGTGGATGGGTAGGTGGGTGGGTGGATGGATGGATGAGTGGATGTATGGATGGACGGATGGAGGGAAGGAGGGATGGATGAAGGGTGGGTGGATGAAGGGATGGAGGGAGGGATGGATGGAGGGATAGATGGATGCATGAATGGGTAGATGGATGGATGAAGAGATGGATGGATCGATGGATGGATGGATGGATCGATGGATGGATAGATAGATAGATAGATATATGGGTGGATGAATGGATGGATAGACTAATGATGGATGGACAGATGGCGGGAGGGATGGAAGAAATGGAGGGATAAATGAGTGGATGGATAGGTGATGTATGGGTGGATGAAGGGATGGACAGACAGAGGGATGGATGATGGAAGAGGAGGGAGGAAGGAAGGAAAGGAAGTAGTGAAAGTGAGAGTGAATGCATGGGAATGAATAGATGGGTGGACGAATGCACAACTGTGAAACAGCAGACAGCCTGGGGACATCCTCCCTCCTGTCCCTCCTCTCCCAGCTCCTGCACTGGGGCCTGACACTCAGCCCTGCAGCCCTCAGTGTCTGGGAAACCCCTTTGAGGAGCAGGCCCCCCAAACTCTGATGTTCTGGACTTCACTTTGCCATTCCCTTGGCTCCTCACAGCCACTATTTTCTGAAGGTTTCATGTCAAACCCTGCTTGTCTCATGAATACACACAGTTCAGAAAAGCAAAACCTCGACAGAGCCACCACCCACACAAGGGAGATGATGTGTCCCCATCCTTTCTCAGATGCCCCAGCCACTGAGAGAGCATCCAGGCCACCCTGCCCAGCTGGGGAACCACCCGGTGACAGCACTCCCTTCCTTTCCCACCCGATCTGGATGGGACGGTGACCAAGGGCAGCCGGCAGAGGCAGGCCCAAAGGCCGCAGCTGGGCACTCAGCACTGGGGTGCAGAGTGGACAGCACCAGGGGCAGGGGGTAGTTGGGATCAGCAGTGCTGAGGAGGCAGCCACTGCCCCCGCCGGCCCCCGACCAGCCCTGGCCTCTTGTCAGATCCTCCGCACCCCTCAGCTCAGCCTCGAGGACAAGGACCCAGGGCCTGTCCCTCTGAGCTCTGCCTAGCCTCAGCCCTGCTGTGTTTCTGGTGCAGCCTCCCCTCCATGGTTACAGCAACCCCGTGCCTCTGCTTCTGGAAACCTGGAGGTCAGGCCATGCCCAGTGCAGACGTCAGGAGGCTCAAAAGGGCTGCAGCCTACGAGGCCCCTGGCCAGGGATGGCAGACGAAGCCCTTAACCTCTGTCCTGTCTGCCAGAGCAGCCACCTGACATCCTGTGACCCTTGCTACAGGCCCCTAGGCCAGCCCCACACAGAAGACGGCCATCATCTCTGCAGAATGAATCAATTAATCTGCACAATCAGAAGCACTAGGCATGTGGGGAGGCAGCTACCTTGGGCTAGAGCAGCTCAGTCCCCAAGTGCTGTGTCAGCTGCTCCTGTCCTGGGCCTGGCAGTGTCTGAGCCCACAACTGGGCCAAGTGGCCTCAGGCTGAAACCAGTTTGGGCACTCAGGTCAGCTCAGGGCATGAGGAGAGGCTCAGGACCCTCTTGGTCTCCACAACTCCCAACCATGCGTACTGGGTGCTGGGACCTAGATTGAGGGACCCCGGCCACCATCTGGGGGTCACCCAGGCAGAGCTGAAGCCAAGACACTCGGGAGGTCATCCTCCCTCCCACAGCCTGCTCCCCACTCCCTGGGCTTGGCTCAGCTTTCACCAGTTTCAGAACCTTCCCCATCCCCCAACAACTGCCCTAGAGCCAAGGCCCCATGGTCCGTCCCATGGTCCGTCCTCAGACTCTTCCTGCATGGAAATGCGTCCCCAACCCAGGCTGGGCCTCCCTTGTGCCGTGCCCCCACCCAGGTCTATAGTGGCCCCTGCCCTGCCTCCTCTCTCGGACCACCCTGGTCAGGCCAGATGGCAGCAGGGCGCAGGTTACCTGGTGCAGACCCTCGAGGCCGCTGGTGCCTGCTCTGTGCAGTCCCTGCTACGCCTCAGGCCCAGCGCCCTAAGCGGGAGGTCGCCGATACCCAAAATAAAACCTGCCCTGTGCTTCTGACCTCAGCCGGCTGGGCGGAGAGTGCCTGCCAAAACCCGAGGAGCTGGGCGGGCAGCACCCTCCCCTGCTGGCCACCCGGGGCCAGTGCAGGGCCATGGCATGCCCACCTTCAGATGCGCCCCTCAGGACCCCTGGCTTGGGCGAGGACTTGGGTGGGCACAGGCTTCCCAGGCCTGCGGACTGAGCCATGTGTAACCACAATGGTGGGCTCAGGGCTCCGTTAGGGGAGCCGGCAGGGCCAGCCTGGAAAAGGAGGTTGGCCCCACCATGGGAGAGGACAGGGTGGGCCCGCCGACCTGCAGGAAGCCGCTCAGGTGCCTCTGAGGGAGCAGCTCTGCAGATGTCCCCAGTGGGCAAAAAGTTGGTCATGGATGTCCAGGGGCCAGGGTTGTACATGGCCCCCAAAGCCCTGCCCATCGCGGACATGGACGGGGAGGGGAAGGTGTGGAGTGTAGAGGAAGCCACGGACCCAAAGCAGGACAGGGACGTTCCCAGCAACTCCAGCTTCAAGAGCCTTCCCAGTGCCCGGCACTCAGGGGGAGGCAGGCAGGGGACAGGCCCCGTCCTTTGAAATGGCAGCCTGGGGCCAGCCCGCCTTGTTGTGTGACCTTAGGCACACCCTGCCTGTCCTGGGCTCTGCGGCCTCATTCTTCCATGGAGGGCTGGAATGAGGTGCCAACCAAAGCCTTCCAGAAGGCCCCCGGCCCGGCCCCATGGCACTGTGAGCCCCTGCGCGTTGACCTGATGTCCCTGACTCTAAGCCTGGGGAGGACAGGGACCTCGTCTGTGCCTCTCGGGACTCACCCCTGTCCTGGGCGCTGGCCAAGAAGGAACCAACCTGTGCCTAAACCGGAGAGTTCCACAGACACCACCGCCCACGCTCAGCCTGTGGGGCCTGAGGGGAGTAAGGGGGCCGGTCAGGGTGCCCGACTGCTCTCCCCCACCTGTTGCCTCAGTTTCCCTGATCCAAGAGGCAGGGCCATCCAAGCTGGTGGCCTCACTGGCCAGCATAGGGGTCATCAGAGGCCAGGAAGGGTGTCTGCTAGTCGGACGGTGCCACCTGGAGTCCTGAGGAAAGAAAACCAATCTCCACCAGCCACCATGAGCCTGTGGGAGACGCTGGCACAGATGGTAACAGCCACTGCGAGTGCCCAGGGTCCCGGGGCCCCGGGGTGAGAGAGGGCCTAGAGGGAGGACCCAGACCCTCACCCAGCAAACTCCAGATATAGCTCCCTCCGATGGCACCAGCCCCAGGCGAGGTATGGCAGACTCGGACTGCAGCCAGCCTGGCCATGTCCCTGGCCCGCTTATTGTGTGGGCCCCAGTGGCGTCCACCTGGGGAAGCACAGCTGACCTCTAAGGGGGTCTCAGATGGGATGGGGGCCTGGCCTCAGTTTCATGGGGGGTCTCCCAGGCCTCAGGCTGCTTCCTCCCCTAGGCGAGACAGCAAAGGGCCTGGGGCATTGGGCTGGGTAGCGGGAGGGAACCCTGGCTGTGCAGACCCTTTTCCTGGACAAAGGTTTACTCCCACAGAACATCTCAGAAAGAAGGGGCAAGGAGATGGGAAACTTGGCA